ATAAAAATATATATATTATCGTTGCCTTGGTCTAATGCCGAAGTGGAGCGCATTTTTAGCCAAGTTAATCTTGTAAAATCAAAATTACGAAACAAATTAGAATTGACTACACTTAATAGTGTACTTTATATAAGGTAATTAGATCATTTATCGTTAAAATTGATAATGATATTAAATTTAATTATGAATTTACAGATATGGCTTGCGCAGACTGGAGAAATGCTGCTACACATATAGCGTTCCAAACAAATTTTTACGTATGATTGGAACAGGATTAACTTATAACGACCAAGCAGCCAACATAGATGAATTAATGGATATCTTAACATAAGACAAACCCAATTAAATTTAATATCTTAACATAAGACAAACCCAATTAAATTAAATTTTACCTAAAACCGAAATATATATGTTTTGAAAAAATGGTTTTTTTTTATGGCTTTTTTCGATTTTTTTTTGGCTTTTTTTATGGGTTTTCACGTCAAAAACAGCTTTTTTTCAAGAAAAAGTTGGCAACACTGGCTGAGAGATGTGAATTGGGCGCAGGTCGCACAACATGCCTCCTGTCTGCCGCAGAGGTGGCGTATTTGACAGCTTTTCATATTTTTACCATATTCTGATTTGTTTCTCAAAAAATTACTCACAAAATTTTGGCTTTGTCAAATTTTTTTAACGATTTTGCGATGGCTAAGACTACTTTCACGATAGGTTTCAATTTCGCCTATTTCAAACTCGGATAATTGTCCCATTTTTCAATTAATTTAAAGAAAATATATGAATTTAAAAATTTGCATAAAAAATGTGTGACTAAGCCGCCAAGTTTAATTGCAAACTAAAAATCTTTCAGCTGAACCTATTCAGATGAACCAAAAAATGGCACAGAAATTAGCAGAAGCAATAGCAAAACATAATATATAAAGAAATACTAATTAGCAAGCGGTTCTTTACTAGCACACACTGATTAATACAAATTTTAAGTTTAAATGTATTTAAAACAAGAAAGGAATGCTAACTTCGGGCGGAGCCGAAGTTTATATACCCTTGCAGTTAAAACCGGATATATATCGCAAACATCGGATATAGTTGGTCGATCCTTATGAGAATATGATAATATAACCCAATTTATGATAATACAAAAACCAAACCTAAAAATTGTAGCGGCGACTGAAGAGTCATTTCCCAAGAAAATAAGTAAAGAACTAAAATCATTTATATAGTCTTTATATTTTTTTTTTTTGTGGTAATCGATAGTTAAAGGGAAGATTTTACTTCGGGAGTTGCCCAATGGCTAAGACGCAGAATCAGCTGCAGCAGGGAGGCTTAGGAAAGCTCCAATATCAGCTGTTTTGCATTTCCGGTAACCTCAATAGAATGTAGGTTGATCCATTCTCAGTCTTTTCTGTCGAAACCCTCACGAAGTGCAGACGCAAGCTAATATCACTCTCCGCGAGTTTAAATTTTCATCAGCGCAAGATCCCGCAAGTGCAAAGTGATTTTATTTTATCCCAAATACCACATTTGCGCAGTGATAAGGGCAGCCTAAGCCTAAGTTCGTGGGTTTTTTTTTGGATCGTCGCGGCTTTATAAAAGCGCGACCTCGTCGCCGTCGTATTATAATTTGTCAGGTGAATATAAAAAAAAATATTTTTTTTAAACCCCCAGGGTACTTATTGTGGCCGTTCTTAAAGATTCTTTGCGGTCCACATCAAAGCACCCTGGGAGCTCTCCTGGTGGAGGCTCCCAGATCAGGAGCGGCTACACCCAAACCGGTTAGTCCGTGATCCCCATCATCATCAGCAACTTCATCATCATCATCGTCATCATCATTTTCCCTTCATAAATCATTGGTGCCGGAAAACTAACTCCTAGGTGGCCGGAAAACTGAGGTTAGGGATAATATAAGAGAATTTTCGAAGACCCAACGCTGCCCAAGACACGTTGAGCGAAAGGGCGTTGACCCCATCAGCTAAGGAGTAACGAGCCAAAGGGGAATTATCAAAAAAACCGCTAACCTAGCAGACCAGCCCCAACCTCATGGCGATCATTTTTTTCTCATCACCATTTCATTCCCCAAATCACGAGCGTTTTAACATATTTAAATTTTATTTATTTTTATTATTCAATAGTTTTAATTTTTAGTTTAAATTTAAATTGATTACAGGTTTTTAATGAAGTGAAGAGAAACATAATCGAAGAACATGAAGATTATTATTTTTTTTTTTAACATTCATGAAACAAAAATGATCATCAGTTTATTTTAAATCGTCTAGTTTATTCTCGTGCGGAAAACAGTTTGTTTTTAAATTCCATGAAGTGCAAAAACCCACTAACTCATTACAGGGACCCCTAAGCAGAGATCGATCTTTCGCCGATGGACTTACAGTGAGTTATTTGTTTACCTTTTTTCACGTACACAGAGAAAAACTTCTCAAGTCGCACTGAATTTTGAATTTAAAAAAAAAAAAAAAAAAAAAATGTAGTTTATTCATCCATCATTCATTCACACAAAAGCACGATTTTTATTTAAACGATTCAATTTACCAGGTGTACCGGAAAGTCCTTGCCGGTTTTATTCGGAAAGAAACTCGTTAATTGTTAGAATATGGTAAAAAATATTTTATTCAAAGTATTGCCCATCGCTAGCCACACATTTTTCCCAACGTTCTGGCAATTTATGGATGCCAAGCCAATACCACTCTTGGTTCTTCGTGGCGAACCATTCATCAAGCCATTTTCCGACTTCCTCGTAGTTGGCGAAGTGTTGCTCTTTGAGTGCATGCGCCATCGATGAAAACAAGTAGTAATCGGAAGGCGCCACGTCTGGTGAGTAAGACGGGTGGGCTAGGATCTCCCAGTTTACTGTGTCCAAGTAGTTACGAACCAATAATGCGGCAATTCCGCCTCGGTCAATTCATGCAGCACCCATTTACCCGACTTCTGGATCTTTCCCATCGCACGCAGACGGCCATCTCTGCCATCATTTTTTGTGTTTGCGTATCATCCTCGTCCAAAAGCGCTTGCAAGTCGGTGTCTTCAAACGTCTGCGGCCGTCCAGAGCGTTTTGCATCGTCAGTAGAGAAATCACCATTTTTGAAGCGACGATACCACGTTTCCACAATGCGGATAGCTAGACCACAGTCACCGTATATCTCGTGAAGAATTCTGTGACATTCAGCCGCTTTTTTCTTTTGATGGAACATGAAAATCATCACTTCCCGCAAATGGCCATTTCCAGGCACGAAATTACTCATTTTCAAAGGCAAAAATTGGCAAGACCACGATAAATTTTCGATTGTTGTTATGCACTGTTTTGACACTTATATCAGTGGCAAACAAAACGTCATAGAGGTTATTAGCAAAAACAACGCGTGTGGGCTAGCGACATCTATTACGAAAACCGGCAAGGACTTTCCGGTACACCTGGTAATTTAATTAAATTGGTGACTAATGGATACTCTATCCTCAGGAATTTTAAATTTTCATCATATTTTTGATACCCTTATTTAACATTTATTATCACCTTTCATATTGATATTTTTATTATATTATATATATACGCCTGTTTCTTCGAACATTTACATATTAACTTTTACTTTTATAAATTTTACATTTAATTTTCCCTCACGTATAATTAGGATATTTTATTTTTATGCAAGCAAACATTTATGAATTATGCAAAACCTTTGTATAGTCTTAGCCCAATTTGTTGTTAGTTTTATGCTGAATTAAATCTTATAATGAACTGAAATATCTGTTGTTTGAACTGAGCTGATGACTCCACGGTTGTAGGGTGTTCTAAGGGGATCACCAGAGCGATGCTCTAGCGGCCGGTGATCATAGGTAGGGTGGGCAATTCATAAGCACAACAACACCAGTGTCTTGCCAAATGAATAGTCTTCTCTTTGTCTGTCCTTTCTTTCCGTCCTTCCGAATTTATTCCTCCGAACTCTTCCGGTTCAGTCCTCCTTTCATTTAGTTTGTCGCAAGCACGCTCAATTCTGGATTTAATAGTAATAATGTGTAGTGAGTGATAGAGTCCGTCCAAGCAAGACCACCACCCCCAAAGCCGACGAGCAGTAGCCGGACCCTATAGCGTGCCCCGCTAGCACAGACTCTTCCAATCCGTCCACATCGTACCGTTGCACATTACAGATATAATTCATTATCATTATTAAAGAAAGTGGCGCCCAACGTGGGGCCTTAGTGGAACTGTTCCTTTTTTTTTCATTAAGACTCCAGGATAAATTAATTCGATTTTTCAACCTTCTTCCTTTTCTTCTTAAAATTTCTCTTTGGGTATTAAATTTTTTTTGGAAAGCAGTTTATTAATGATTATTAGTGTTTATTACTGACCAAGATTTAAGAAACAAACGAGAAATTTTCCTAAATTTGGCAGAAAGGTCCACAAAGTGTTGGAACCTGAGGAAAACAGAAAACGCGAACTTAGGTCGAGTTCTGGCCCGGGCTAAGACACAGTGTCACCAATCTACCAACCTCTATCATTCTAAAAGCGAAACGAATTTCATCGTACGGAACATGGTGGTACTACTCCAGAGTAATGCCCCATCCAGAAGTTCATTAGCGTAGACTCCTTTTGGATTACTTGAGGCTTCCGTTATGGTCTTATGGAATACACATGAATCTGTCGGAAACAGGTCGATGGCCAAGACCAAACTGGAAGCTGAGAGAAGTAATCTTTCTAGTCCTTGAAAGAAACCGAGTAAAGTCATTCTATTCTAACTATCTACTTTTATTTTCCTGAGAAGCCGAAAAAAAACAAATACCCTACAACACGTGCGACTTCAAGCATCAGTTCAAACACTCTTTTGATTAGATTTTTTTTCCCTTTTGTTGGTTTAGTTGCTGAAGGCAACGTATCTTTGAGTGAAATATTTGGTTTGCTAGCAACAAGCTTAGCAGCAAGATTTTGATAATTCCTTTTTTTTTTTTATTTCTGTTGTTGATATTTTAGTTGTGGGAAAGTTACGATTTTTGGGAAGATGGGGATAGACCGGTCTCCAGATAAAGGAGCTGCAAACAGCTCCAATTCCAGTTGTCCGATTTGTAACGCCGAGGTAAACGCTGCCGAGGTCTACGTGACGGCGTGCCAGCATGAGTTTCACCGGAAGTGCATAGAAGCTCACTGGAAAAAGAGTTTACAATGTCCGGTTTGCAAGGCGGTTTGCAGACCCAAAGGACTTAAGGTAACGGATGATCCGGAAAGACGAACTCGAAGTCAATCCAGGAATCAACCCATCCCCGATAACGTCGGGAGACAAACGACAGACGACATAGCTACCACTTCAGGGTCTAATCCCAGTTGCAGCAATGAAAGCATAATTTCGGCGAATGCCATAACGCTACTAGCTATGGAGCGGAGATTGCTGGAGTCACTGTCAGGAAAGATGGCCGAGTTGATCCAAAACTCATTCACAGCTCGGGAATGAGTCACCCGTCGTTACCTCCATCAGAAGAAAGTATGCAAGGCAGGATAGACCCAGAAAATACCAGGGTACCTGTGAGAGAGAGCACATTAAGTCCGCGTTCCCAAAATTCTCAGGGCAGCAACACGTCAGATCTGTTGAACCGCCCTGATAAGGTAGTGCACATCCTCAACGGGTGGAAAATTAAGTATTCCGGAAAAGGAGTGTCTGTGGACAACTTCATATATAGAGTGGAAGCACTGACTAGGGAGACATTAGGAAATAACTATACGGTACTTTGTAGAAATGCAAGCGTCCTTTTTGAGGGTAAAGCCAATGAATTTTATTGGCGATATCATAAAGCCCATGGCGAAGTCCAATGGGACAGCTTCTGTTCAGCTTTGCGACTGCAGTTTCGTCAGGTTAGGGATGACGGCGACACTGAAGAGATTATAAGAAATACCAAACAAAAACCCAACGAATCGTTCGATTCATTTTACGACACCGTGTCGAGTCTGGTCGATCAGTTGGATCACCCTTGGACACAGCAGAAGCTAGTGAGAGTTATCAAGAATAACCTTCGTCCCGAAATAAGGCATGAGATTTTAAATCTTGATATCCAAACAGTCAGCGAGTTAAGGGGAATTTGTCGCAAACGCGAAGCTTTTATGGCTGAGGTAAAGAGATCTCAAGGATACTCTCGAAGCACGCCTTTTAAGCGCGATATCTCTGAGTTTAGTGAAGGTTACGATGGTCCGGAAACAGAGCAATCCGATGATGAAGCCGGCATAGAAGCTTTCTCCCTTTTGTGCTGGAATTGCCGCAAGGAAGGTCATAGATATCAGGACTGTGTATCGGATAGAAGAGTCTTTTGTTACGGTTGTGGAGCACCGAACACTTACAAACCAAACTGTGGTAAGTGTTCAAAAAACTTCCAAGCCGGCTCGTCGAAGTCGCAGTTCAGACCGAAAGCTCCGAGTGCCGTACGAAGTCAGGCCACAATGACCGAGAAATAGAAGAGGTAGTGCTGGCAACCTCAACTCCTTCCATCGACAAACAGTGCACTGATTCAGGTCCTTTGCTTCACAGCAAAATACCGAGGTTGCAGGAGGAGAATATTTCAGGATTTTATTACAACCCAAACTTTAAAATGCAGCGATCCCGAAGTTCAAGGCGGGTAAATCAGTTTTGGTGGCGGGTAAAGGAGGTTAAACAGGGCCTTCAGTACATTAATTCCTTGCCAGCAGGCACAAGCGATCCGCGACCTTTTGTACCAGTCAAATTTCTGAATCGTACTGTCTATGGATTATTAGATTCAGGAGCTTCAATTAGTTGTGTTGGTGGTAATTTAGCGGAGGAATTAAAAACTAGTATTAAATATAAAGTATTAGCATGTAGTGCCTCAACAGCTGATGGAAGAGCGCAGCAGATAATAGGATATTGTAAAGTTGAAGTAGAATACGGTGAAGTTAAAAAGTTTATGAAAATATATATAGTACCCTCTTTAAAACAAGACTTATATTTAGGGATTGATTTTTGGAAACTCTACGATTTATTACCCCGGAAGTTAATTATATCTGAAGTAGGATCAACAGAAGTAAACCCAAAACTAAACGTTGATCAGCATATTTTGTCCGAAGTGGATAAGGCCAAGTTGATGAACGTCATCAATTGTTTTCCGTCGTTCGTGCAAGAAGGACTGGGTAGGACGAATTTAATAACTCATACCATCGAGGTGGGTAAGGCGAAACCCATCAAGCAAAGACACTTTCCAGTTTCACCCGCGGTGGAAAAGGCCATGTACTCTGAAATAGATAGAATGTTAGAGTTAGGTGTTATAGAAGAGTCGGAGAGCTCTTGGTCATCCCCTATCGTTATGGTTACAAAACCAGGAAAAGTTCGAATTTGTCTTGACTGCAGAAAAGTCAACAGTTTTACAGAAAAGGATGCATATCCTCTTCCGCAGATTAGTGGTATTTTAAGTCGATTGCCGAACGCGGAATACATATCGAGCCTCGATTTAAAGGACGCGTATTGGCAGGTGCCTTTAGATGTCGCTTCTCGGGACAAAACAGCGTTCACGGTACCGGGAAGACCTCTCTACCAATTTAAAGTAATGCCATTCGGGCTTTGTAATGCTACAAGCACAATGTCTCGACTTATGGATAAGGTAGTACCAGCACACCTCAGGAACGAAGTGTTCGTCTATCTCGACGATTTGTTGATAGTTTCTTCAAGCTATGACAGGCATCTTGAAGTCCTGGGGGAAATAGCTTTGCAAATTAGACGGGCCGGGTTAACTATTAACATCGGAAAAAGTCATTTTTGCATGCACAGGGTACGATATTTGGGGCATATCATTGGAGACGGTGGTATACGTACAGACCCCGAAAAGGTGGCAGCAATCACCAATTTTCCTGTTCCGAAGAGTTTGCGAAATTTAAGGAGCTTTATGGGACTATGTGGGTGGTATCGCAAATTTGTGCCAAATTTTGCGACTCTTGCCGCTCCGTTAACTGACTTAATGACAACCAAACGTAAGTTCAGTTTGACCGACGAAGCGCTGAAAGCTTTCGAGAAGTTAAAACGATCATTATCCGAAGCGCCCGTTTTGTGTAGCCCCGATTTCGGAAAACCGTTCGAGATACACTGTGACGCCAGTAAGACAGGTGTAGGAGCAGTGTTAGTACAAGTATCTGAGGAAGGGGACGAGCGACCTATTTGCTTTATTTCAAAGAAGTTGAATAAGGCGCAACGGAATTATACAGTAACGGAACAAGAATGTTTGGCTGCAATAGTGGCACTAAAGAATTTTAGGGCCTATGTCGAAGGACAGAACTTTAAAATTATCACAGATCATGCCTCATTAAAATGGCTGATGTCCAATCAGGATTTAAGCACACGCTTGGCTCGATGGGCGTTATCATTGCAAAGGTACAAATTCAAGATCGACCATCGCAAAGGATCCCTCAATCTGGTTCCCGACGTGTTGTCTCGGGTTAATGAAGAAGTGATAGCCGCGGTGGACTTGCGAGACGAGTACTTTTGGATTTGAGCTCAGAGCATTTTAAATCGGGGGAATACACCGATTTAGTGAATAAAGTGAAGGCGAACGAAACTAATTTTCCTGACCTTAAGACTGAGGAAGGTTTCGTTTATCGTAAGGCCGAACACCTAACAGGAGATCGCATGCACGACGAATTCGCGTGGAAACTTTGGGTTCCAAAGGAGTTAGTTCCCGAAATACTAGCGAAAGCACACGATAGTCCCTTGTCGTCTCATGGGGGCATCCATAAGACCATCGAAAGAGTTAGGCGTTACTATTTTTGGCCTGGGCTAGTGCCTGATGTAAAGGCTTATGTGAATGCTTGCGAGGTATGCAGGACCACGAAGCCATCAAATTGCGTTTTACGACCGCCCTTAGGGAAAGCTCCAGAAAGCCATCGATTTTTCCAACGGTTATTTATGGATTTTCTCGGGCCTTATCCTAGATCGAGAAGCGGCCATGTGGGTATTTTTATTGTCTTGGACCATTTTTCCAAATACGTTTTTCTGAAACCTGTTAGGAAAATTGACACAAGTGCTGTGGTTAAATATTTGGAAGAAGAATTGTTCTTAACGTATGGAGTGCCAGAAACCGTAGTGTCCGACAATGGCTCTCAGTTCCGTTCCCATGCGTTTGGCAAATTAATGGAACAGTATCGCGTAACTCACACCTTTACCGCGGTACATTCTCCCCAAGCCAACGCTTCCGAACGTGTAAATCGATCGGTGATATCGGCAATAAGAGCATACATACGGCCTGATCAGAGGGATTGGGACGAAAATTTAAGTAAAATATGCTGTTCGTTGAGATCAGCAATGCATTCAAGTTTAGGGACCTCGCCTTACTATATGGTGTTCGGGCAACACATGATCACTTCCGGGACTACGTATTCTTTGTTGAGAAAGTTAAACTTATTAGACGATCGAGCGCTGAAGTTAGACCGTCAGGATTCTTTGGAAGTTGCACGAGAAAATGCGTGTCGGCTAATGCAGAGAAAGCACGACGAAAACGAAAAGAGTTACAATTTGCGGTCTCGAAATGTGACTTTTAAGGAAGGGCAAGAAGTGTATCGGAGAAATTTTAGGCAGAGCTGTTTCCAGTCTGGCTACAACGCTAAATTTGGACCGTCCTTTGTTAAGTGCAGGGTTCGAAAGAAACTAGGAAGCGTGTATTACGAATTAGAGGATTTGCAAGGGAAATTGATAGGTACTTATCACGCGAAGGACATAAAACAATAGCGCCTCTTCAGTCGGAATCAGTCTAGGGTACCAGGAATAGAATACCCTAGCCTGAATGTTTCGGGGGGGCTTTGTAGCGGCGACTGAAGAGTCATTTCCCAAGAAAATAAGTAAAGAACTAAAATCATTTATATAGTCTTTATATTTTTTTTTTTTTGTGGTAATCGATAGTTAAAGGGAAACTTTTACTTCGGGAGTTGCCCAATGGCTAAGACGCAGAATCAGCTGCAGCAGGGAGGCTTAGGAAAGCTCCAATATCAGCTGTTTTGCATTTCCGGTAACCTCAATAGAATGTAGGTTGATCCATTCTCAGTCTTTTCTGTCGAAACCCTCACGAAGTGCAGACGCAAGCTAATATCACTCTCCGCGAGTTTAAATTTTCATCAGCGCAAGATCCCGCAAGTGCAAAGTGATTTTATTTTATCCCAAATACCACATTTGCGCAGTGATAAGGGCAGCCTAAGCCTATGTTCGTGGGTTTTTTTTTTGGATCGTCGCGGCTTTATAAAAGCGCGACCTCGTCGCCGTCGTATTATAATTTGTCAGATTCTTTGCGGTCCACATCAAAGCACCCTGGGAGCTCTCCCGGTGGAGGCTCCCAGATCAGAGCGGCTACACCCAAACCGGTTAGTCCGTGATCCCCATCATCATCAGCAACTTCATCATCATCATCGTCATCATCATTTTCCCCTCATAAATCATTGGTGCCGGAAAACTAACTCCTAGGTGGCCGGAAAACT